TAAAGATACTAAGAAGCTTGTCCATGAATATGAAAGGATCCTATTGAAATAAGTAGACAAAACTTGTCTAAATTATTCAATGAGTGTCATAATATATATATATATATATATATATATATATATATATATATAATGTAGTCCTTATCGCTAACCCTTAACCACCTTTATCTAGAGACGAGACGCGTTAGATTTGAGCAACATCTAGCCGACACACTGGGGTTAAAATAGGAAACTAAAATGACACATATGACACACTCATATCCTCTCTCCCACCTCACTTCCTCACTTCGCTAACTTTTGCGTATACTTGATGAGGTCCGTAAAAAAAACGTGTGAATTTCTTTTCATTTTCATTTCAGCTTTTGGAAGTAAAAGTCTGATGATCCAGAACCCTGTTAAAGGGGTTATGGTGAAATAGCTTATTACATGGAATCTTAACATGGTCTGTCTTTTATTCAAACATATCTGTTCTGAATTTTACATTGAGCTCTCTGGATATCATCCTCCTCAGGTCTACCATACGGATTACCTAAATTTGCATAAATATATATATATATATATATATATATATATATATATATATATATATATATATATATATATATATGTGTGTGTGTGTGTGTGTGTGTTTCAACAGCATTTTGTACATTCAAATCGAAATTGTCGACAAAATGCCCAGCGTTCATGCTTTTGTTCTTTTTCTTCAAGTACTTCCGACAGCTTCAGTCAGCACAAAGAAATAAATGTTTCTAGTATTGTAGACAAGGTTTTATTGGCTACATCTTGATTTGGGGGGAGGGGGGGGAGAACGTTACAATATAAATTAATTTCGAATATGACAGTACCCTATGAGTGAGGTCATTTGAAAAACAGTTTCGCAAAGCTTGACTTCCACGGAAAAGAACGTATCAGTATTTTATACACATTATTATTATTATTATTATTATTATTATTATTATTATTATTTCATACTCATATTAAATATTTTATAGATAATTTTAAATAAATCTTTTTGGCGAAAGATATTTCTGTTTCTGTGGTATCTTTCAGAATCATTTTTTATTTTTATCTAAAATCTTTTAATTATTTAATTTAGAGTTTGGTTGCGGATAGCTGAAACAACGGAAAGTTGACCAGTGAATAAACAGGACTTGCGAACACGTCTGTACCTGTATGTCCTTTTATGCGTATTTATGTGCATATTTGCTGCTTGCTTGATTGATTTGATTTTTTACGGTTTATCAACTTTTGCAATTTATTTAAACAAGAAAATAGATTGTAAGATTTTTTTTTTTACTTTTTTGAGATAATAATGATTTACTGATACAAGTCCTACTAATTAACCAATCAAGAATTAACCTGAGCAGAGAAGAATTGGGTCATCCAAATAGCTACTTGAGTTCGATTTGATCGATTCTGGACAAGATTTTCGAAGGATAAACAAACTTACTTTTTTTTATTATTCATAATTCTATTCTATTAAAGTGGTTATTTTTTTAAATTTTTTTTACAACTTATTAACCTTATGCAGGTCATTTAAAGGTCATATATATGTGATCTTTTTGTTTTGACCTTAAATACTCAATTTTGCTTTTTACTTGTATATATGTTTTTCAATGAAACCTATAAACGAAAAACATAAGACATATGTAAAAGCTATTTTTGTTTTGACATCAAAAACAAATCTTTTTTTTAAACTTTTCACTTCTACTTGTTTTCTGTAATTCAATCGTTATCTATCGACAATACCCTCATAATCTTCACTTTCTACTACTTTCTTTTAACTTCATATTACACACCTTATTCATTAAACCTCAAGCTTGACAGACTCTTAGGCCTTGCATTGACTGAACATTATTATTAGAAATAACTTGTTAAAGATTTACACTGAAAATTAAGGAAGAAAGGGATTGTCAGTTGTTAGGAATCATGGAAAATAATTACTGATAAAATAGAGCTATTATCATGTTATAATTCTGCTTGCTCCTTAGTTCCTTAGTTAGCACGACCGTTGCGTCATACCAATACCTCATAGATAATGGACTATTCTGATTTGATCACGAGGAAAAGACATATCAGAGATACTGTTTCAGTGAATGGACTATTGCGTTTTGATCACGAGGCAAGACGGGCAAGACATATCAGATAGACTCTTTGGTTTCAGAGACAAAGAAAGGGAGATAGAAAGAAAGCTAAAACGAAAGAAAGGGAAGATATAGAAGGCAATGACACTCCTTAACTTCTACTGCTGTGAAATGGAAACATTGTCATTTTTTAATCTTTTCATTTGTACCCTTTTATTAGGTTGGTGCAAAAATAATGTCGTTTTTTGACGTTCAACGTTATTATTTTTGCACCAACCTAATACTTCGATAAATAATAACCTGTATGCATAGTTATGATTGTTATTACAATATTTTATTAAAGTTGCTAGGCTCAAATGTTTAACCAGGCAATAGTGGGACTTCCATACGTGTTTTATAAATGTAATACTCGCTATCAATTTATTCAATGATTGTTTTAAGAATTAAGATCTATCCCAAAATTCAAACACGAAAACCGCGACATTTTCACTGT